TTAGTTCAGTTTAACTTTTTTCCATCAAGAAATTTTCATTTACAGTTTGTCTGATTATTATAAACATTCACATTACTTCATCCAATATTAAAATATCAAATTTATTTTTTTTAAGATCTGCCAGTCTTCCTGCCAATCTTATTCAGGTAAAGATGTTTTCGTGGTGTTTTTATATGTGAATATAAATATATAGGCGAATATGAAACGTCGCTATACATACAACTTGTCATGCAAATTCAGTACAATATATAAAAACAGACAAGCATTCTGATTGTTATTTGTAGTAAATAATGCTCTTGATTCAAATGATTTAGTGTTGATATGTTGTTAATTGTAATTCCAGGCACAGAGAGATTACTTTGGAGCCCATACGTACGAGCTTCTCTCCAACCCAGGCCACTTCATTCACACCAATTGGACTGGCAAAGGAGGCAATGTGTCTTCAACAACATATCAAGCTTAGACATAATCATCCAATCACAATGCTAAATTCTCAATACATAAGATGTAATCTACAATTGTAGTCTTTAGAATCTAATTGCTTATCTGATAATAAAGTGAAAGCTCATCTGTTACGGTGACCGTGATTTTTGGGCAGGGGTTGTGCCGCCTTTTTAAATCTAGCTATTTTTCTCATGAAAAAAAAACACGATTTTGAGAGAATTCCTGTAACGACTACAGTAAGGAGCTTTCTAAAAGTGTCCCGTGAATGATTTTCGGAAATGACCTGTGATATCTAATAATACGTATAGTTAAAACACGATCTCGAGTGTTTCAAACGGCTTAAAAAACTTCAACACTAATTTGAAATTCAAATCCGTTGAGTGAACGCACTTAATCCGTGCAACTGTAAAATCTAAGTAGTACTAATTTGTACTAAAAGTGGACCTGAAGCAAGACGGTATAGAATGCTTCATTTGTTTAATTTAATTTGCGTATCGCATGCACTATTTACCTCAGGCCAAGAGGAACGGGGGCTCTGGAACGAGATTGGATTTCAGCGGGAAAGCTGTGGACATGCGCAGTGCGTTTTTCACCAGTGTCTCCATCAATCTCGTTCCAGAGCCCGCGTTCCTCTTGGCATGAGGGCGCGAGCAACCACGAACTCTGGCCTAATCCATATTTTGCGCGCTTTTCAT